AGAAGGGATTGTGGCGTGGCCACCCCCCCAGGGGCTGATTTCTCGCTTTCTGTCTCTCTGTCTCTCTCTGTCTTTGTAGCAAGCTCATGTGCCCTATAGCAGAAACCTGTCCCCCCCAAAAAAAGAGGAGAGAAAGGAAAAAACAGGAGTAGTACCGTGAGTGTCCAGATGCCCAGAACCTCTGCCATGGTTACATGAGATGTCCTTCTACCTAAACATGCAGTGCCCCAGTTGTCTCCCTGGTGCCCCAGCCTGACCATTCCCCTCCCACCCACCGCAGAGGAGACCATGGCCTAAAATTGCTTTGCTTTTTTCACTGTCATGTCCTCTGACTCTGAGACTTTGCACACTACTGTTCTCCACCTCTCCGTCTGGGACTGCTTTAATGCACATGCCCGTTTCTCACTGCGCCCATCACACTTCCTGTTCCAGCGCATTCTTCTTCCTGGAGCCTCAGCCTGCTGGCGTGGGAGCAGAGCCAGCCACTCACTGTGGGAGGCGAACTCTTGAAGATGATACCACAGGGTGCTGAGGAGCCCTAGCCCTAGACTACAGCTTTCTAGTCCCCACCTCACTGAGCTACCAGCTCTTCTCTCCCCAACCCACAATTCCACCTTCCCCAAATACACTAGCCAGTGCCAATGACGTCCCTTCCAAGTCCCCCATCCCCCAGACACACAGAGTGACTCCCTGAAGGTGCACGGTCCTCCTGCCTCCCTCAGCAAGACAATTGCTCTTGGTAAATCCCTCTGTTTCAGTGCGGTCACATGGCCAGTCGCTGGTGAGCGCCTCCGGCCAGCCTGTAAGCCCTGACCTGGAAGCGCTCCATTTGTACACTAAGTGGACAGCTGAACCCTTAATGATGTTAAAGGAGGGTGACAGATATTTGCAGTGTAGTTAGCAGCAGTGACGTTGACAGGTGACGGTCCCTTGAGCATCCACAAGCCCCGAATACATAACTTGGAGAGGCTCATTCAGCAGGCCATAAGATAGGGGCAAAGTCAGGTTTCCTGTCTCTACCCTTACCTCCCCTAGGGAAAACACTAGGTTTGGGCTGAGTGCCACTGACTTCTAGGGACCCCAGCATCACTTGCATCTAAAAGTGTGGCCCTTTCTGTTCTGAATCTAGGGGTGGGCAGTAAGTCTGACACATAAATGCCTGGGGACATCAGGAAATGGTGCTTCCTGGAGGCAGTTGCTCTGTCCCACGTGCACACAGAGAAGCGAAGAGGCCAAGATCCTGTCGTGACCAGTTGCCTGTCTACAGCGGGAGTAGGTTTATGTCATCTGGTTAATAAAACCGAGCTGAGAAGAGCAGATGGCGTAATGGCTACATCGCTGGACTCCCATGTAGTCGACTGCGGTTCGAGTCCCAGACCAGGTGGCTTAAACTCGTGCCAGGCACGTGTGCGTGCGTGCCCAAGATCTTGAGAGGAGAATGGGAGAAGGGATTGCGGCATGGTCATCCCCCTGGGGGATGATTTCTTGCTTTCTGTCTCTTTGTCTCTCTCTGTATTTCTGGCATGCACATGTACCCTATAGCAAAAACATCTCCAAAAAAAAAAAAAAGAAGAAGAAGAAAAGAAAATATATATACACATATATATAACCAGGCTAAATCCGGAAACCACTCATTAAAATCAGGTCACCTGGGGGACCAGAAGGTGGCATAAGGCTTATGTTACTGGACTCCCATGTAGTCAACTGTGGTTCGAGTCTCAGATCCAATGGCTTAAAACTCACACCAAGTGTGTGTGTGTGTGTGCCCAAGATCCTAGGAGAAGAATGTAAAAAAAGGGATTGCAGCATGGCCAGCCTCCCTAAGGGGTAATTTCTAGCTTTCTATCTGTCTCTCTGTCTCTTCGGAGACTACACCCAATAACAAAAATCTCTCTTAAAAAAAAAAAATCAGGTCAACTAGATTGGCTTAGCAAAAAGTAGCAAAAAGAGATTGTCCTTAGCCTCCTGACTGTTCGTGTGATGCTTACGTAGAACTGTAGAATTCTAGTGACTGCACGCAAATACCTTCAGCGGGGAGGAAAAGACATCTTTCCTACTAAACACTCTGGTTTATGTTAATAACCACAAACACCAGATTAACTGCAAGTTTGGGAAAATTTAGCATGTCACAAAATTAAGCTTTTCCCATCCAAATCCTCCCTGCAACAATGACATTCTGGGAGGGAAGAGGAGGACAGTCCCCTGTAGTTTTGTCAACAAAAACGACTATATATTAAAGCACAATTGTCCCCACGTCACTGCCTTGGATTAACTCCCCTGTTGCAGATTTCATGATAAAAGTGATGACAGTCTATAGAAAACACAGCTATCGGGATATCCTTTGAAAGTTCCCATGTAATGGCTCTCGCGCCCTCTCAGCAGTATCCATGAAGACCAGGAGGGTGGATGCTTTGGTGCCCCCTAGGAAGTCCGCAGTGAACAAGCGCCCACTACTGGAGCTGCAATGCACTAAAAGGGCTGCGCTAGCTAGAAAAGAAAGGAACCAAGAGTGAAGACTTCTTTGTGTATTTCCCCAAAACACGTTCTTCCTGAGCTTGCCCTATCTACTAGCCAGATAGTAATGCTATCCAAAAACTGCCACATTGACAGGTAACCGGTCCCACAGAAGGGCAGACTTGTGATCTCAAGAATCGTTTGCTACATACGCTGGCTCTAATCAGAGTCCAGATCTCTGATTATTTAACACGTAAATGCAACCCTGAGGGACTTGTTTTGTTTCCTTTACTTTTATGAAATAAGGAGCCCTGCTCTTGGGTGTACACGGAGCAAATACAGGAGAAGGTGCAAGGAGCAAATGAGCAGCCCAAAGTTGCAGAACAGGACAGTTTATTGTAAGTTGGCTGGGTCCAGACACAGCCTGAGCACTCTGTGGGAGGCACGAGCTAATAAGTGGGACCAGTGGGCCTTGGGGGAGGAAGGCTGCCCTGGGGGGCCTAGGCCCTGCACTCGCTCATCTTTGGCCTCCTGTCCTTTGTAGTGGTTTATCTATTTACTTGATCTTCTCATTCTAAAGGGAGGATTTATATTTATAAAAAGGAGAGAAATATGCATATGTGTGGGGAGAGGGAAGAGTAGGGGAAAGGGAAAGGGGGAGAGAGAAGTGGGGAGAAGATGGTGGGCGATTGCTGGCTTCACCCACAGCCCTGTGCTAGAGGGAGATGGAAGTGGGTCGGACTTGTTGATCCTACTGCAAATTGCAGAGGAATCTTTCAAGATACCTCCTAAGGCGAGTATCCAGTTTTAACGGATTCCAAGAAAGTCTCCCCTGGCTAAAGTCTCATCGGATCCCTCTGAGAGTCCAGGAGTTCTTTGTGAAAGAGCTTTGAAAAGTGTAATTCTCACACCAATCTTGGACCACTAGCGTCCTCTGTTGGTCACTTAGGGAAAGGGCGCTCACGCAAAGTTGAGGGGACCGGGTATAGAGGAGGCCGACAGGAGTCGCAGCGACCTGAGGGGCGCAACGGCGATTTCGGATGGCGCAAATTCGCGAGAATCTCAGTCTACACTTCAACCCACTGGAGAGAACTGGATACAAGATACAAAGTAACCTTCAAAAATCAGTAGAAAAAGTAAACAATTTTAAGGACTTCAGTTAA